AGCCAAACTCAGGGGCAAGAAACCCAAAGGGAAAGACGCGAGCACTGCAAACCGGCCGAGAGAAGGTAAAGAAAAAGTTTCTCAGACGCAAACAGAGAGAAATGACATATCAAACGCGATGAGGGCTGAGGAGAGCTGTGCGATCGCGGATCCGGTTCCCCGGTGCGCCGGGGGTCCCGCTGATCGAAGCGAGCGCACCGAGCCGAAGCGCTTCCACACGCCGCGGGTCCGCGGAGACTCGATCGGCTTCGGCGGCTGCGATTTAAAACCCAAACGAGAGGCTTTAAAGCTAACAGATGGTCAAGATCTAAAGAATACTGAGCCAAATGTTGCATTACTCGAGCAAAAGGCCGGGGAAAACATTACGGGCGACTTTAGGAGCCCACAACCTCAAGTGTTTGATTATATAGACGCGGAAAGCGATCTAATTCAGGTTATAGAGAGTTCCCTGGAGTATCATGGAGATTTTAGGATACAGAGTCCGACTTTTTTCCCCACTGATCTGGAAATAACATTGGCCCCCGGGCTGAGAGACAGGGCCCCTCGACACCACTCAGTCGACAGTGAGGACGACGATTATTACGATAACCAAATTCTGCCCTTTTATGAGTCGTACGCTCAGTTGAACGACCGAAATATCGGTGAGCCAATATCGGCGTCGGGGTCCAACAAAACCACGCAAGAAACAGACCGACTGAAGTCGCAACTAAAAGAGGCGTATTATTTGCTAATAAACACAATGCATAACATCAGTTTCGACGGTCAGGTTGAAGATAACGGATTTGTGGATCAGGCCAGTAGCGCAAGTCAATCTATCGATAGCATTAGCACAGGAAGCGACGCGTCGGAAGAACGTCTGTTTGCGTTTATCGGACGATGTGGGGTGGGAGTGACGGGGTCTTCTCGAAGCAGAAGCTTGCAGAATATTCGCGACGCGAATCCCAAACCGATGCTCCAGCGGTCGGTGAGCGATAGCAAGGTGAGGTACTCGTCAAATCGCAAGGACGAGCCGCGACCCGCGGTCGCATCGGGACGCGGTGCACAACTGGCGACTCCTACAGAAACCCTAACGACGCCTGTTTCGACGCGACAATCCTGCGACGATGCAACGGTGCCCAAACATCCTGGAGTCACCGTCAACAAGATGCAAGAGTGGATGCAGAAAGGTCGCGTGCTTTCGTCCGAAATGAAGCAGAGGATCGCTGGTTCTTCGCCGAGGGCCAATCACGTGAGGCCAGGTACGCTGTCGTGGAGGACGTCTCATTCATCTCCTGTGGAAAGCGCTGGGAGAGCTTCTGGGTGTCTTTTAACCGGTGCCGGGTTTTTTTCCTCCTCTTCCTTCATGACTTAAGCCCACGTTCACACCAAGAACGATAACTACACTAGTCAACGTTTGAAGTGGATCAAAACCTTTCATCGAAGTTGTCCTAAAACCTAGGGTTGGGTATTGTTTGAATTTGAAATCCGATTCTGCTGATCGATTCCGATTCTAATCAATTCCCAGTTTCGATTCCAGTGTGGTTAAAAGTCAAACATTTAGATATCGAACCTATCAATTCTGTGTTTCTTTTTGCAAAACATTGAATTGCTGCTAAATACCACGAACAAAAATCAGCCGGCTGCATAAACACTGGACTCGATTAAGAGCTGTTTGTGTGCAAAATAGAGCTGGGCACAATTCCGGATAAATTGAGACTTCTTTTTTTAAAGGAGGTTGTAGTTCTCTCACAATTCTGAAGAAAAGATATTAGACAACTAAACAAAATCTCTTGGAATGTATGAATGGAATGATTCGATGACTCACTCGAGATTTACTGGATGAATCAGTGCATTTGAATGAATTTCTTGAATGAATGATTCAAAGACAAATACATTTTTAATAGCCCCTTTTTGCAACCAAAAACAAAAAGAGGGCGCACACAGGAATTGATAGGCGGGATTTAAATTTTAATTATACGAGTATCCGATTCCTGAGCTTAAGTATATGATTCTGGAATTGGAATTGATTTTAGATTCCCAACCTTACTAAAACCTAAACCCAAAATGGTTTCTTGTCTTAGGGCAACTTTGATTATAATTTTTTTGATCCACTTCAAATGTTGACTACTGTATAAAGATAATGATATTGGCATCCACACCAGCGGACGATATCGTCTGTTTATTCTAAGCGCAC